ATCCTGGCGGTTGCTCTATGTAAACCGTTTCACGAAGATGGCCATTGAGAAACGCATTCTTAACATCAAGTTGATGAAGATGCCATTGATTTGTTACTGCTAAGGAAAGAACAAGACGAACTGTTGTGGCTTTAACGACGGGGCTGAAGGTATGAGAGAAATCAAAACCCGGAATTTGTGTAAAGCCTTGTGCCACAAGTCGTGCTTTATGTCGGTCAATAGTTCCATCAACATGATATTTCGTGCGAAATACCCATTTGGACCCTACCACATTTGCATTCGGCGGACGTGGAACAAGAGTCCACGTATTATTTTGATGAAGTGCCTGAATTTCTTCATTCATGGCATGAGACCAATGTTGGTGTTTGGAAGCCGATTTAAAGCCCTTGGGTTCCTTGGCAGCGAACAAAGCAACATGCAAGTCGGTAGGAGAAATAGCAAGGAGATCGAAAATATGACGAGGTTTGACAATGCCCGCTTTACTCCTAGTGGTCATCGGATGAACGTGAGTTGGTAAAGGAACAGAAGCTGTGGAAAGTTGGTTATCAGGTTGCGACGGGGAAGGGGTTGGTTGGTGGGATGGCGAAGTGGAGTGTGGGGAAGTTGGTTGAGTGGTTATGGATGGAGTAGGCTCAATTTCAGGAGGTGTCGATGGTAAGGGAGTATCATGCAAACAAGAGGAGCAAGGCATGTGAGGTTGAGATGAGATGGATGGTTTGAGGTTTGTAGATGTAGGTTCTGGTTGGTCACGTGAAAGATAAGTACTTCATCTGAATAGGAGCATAAGAATAAAGTGGCAAGATCAGTGGGAGTCGTTTTCCTTGCAAACGGAAAGGAGGTCTCATCGAATCTTGCATGTCGAGTTATGAAGACCCGATAGGTGTTGGGGTCAAGCATTTGTAGCCTTTGTATTGTGTGGAATAACCAACAAAAATACATTCGATGCTGCGTGGTGCGAGTTTGTGCTCCGAATAGGGCCTTAAGTAAGGAAACACTCGGCATCCAAAAACCTTAAAATTGTTGTAGTTTGGTACCGAATTGAAGAGGACCTGAAATGGAGATTTATGTAGCAACAATTTTGTAAGGAGACGATTAATAATATGAATCGTTGAAGAGAAAGCATGCACCCAAAAAGTTGCAGGTGCATTTGCACCAAATAACATGGCAAGACCGGTTTTGGTTAGATGTCAATGCTTGCGTTCTACACGTCCATTTTGTTGCAGAGTGTATGGACACGACATTTGATGATGAGTACCATTATCAAGAAACAACTGTCAAACTCGATTGTTTAGAAATTCGGTGCCCCTGTCACTTTGAAAGACCTTTAGCTTGCAAGAGAATTGTGTTTGAGAAAACTTTAAAAAGTTTTCTAATACCTCRAAAAAACTAGACTTTGTTTTTAGAGGATAGAACCAAGAAAATCTCGAGTAATCATCAACACATAAAGCATAGTAACGATATCCATCAACTGAAGTAACGGGAGCGGGTCCCCATAAATCACAATGAACCATGTCAAGAGCATGCAAAGATCGTTTATCATTTAATTGAAAAGGCAAACGATGTTGCTTTGAAAGYTCACAAGAGGAACAAAGACTTGGTCTTGGTAAGATAGAAGTAAGATGCAAATACCCATGTTTATTGAGAATAGTGATAACATCAAAGGCAACATGGCCAAGTCGTTTATGCCATAATTCAAACGAAGCTTTAGAACWAGAAATAACCGATGCAGCAAGAGCTTTAAAWCCCGGGTTCAAAACATAGAGTCCATCCTTATGYGTTCCTGTGGCTARGATAGTTTTGCTGACCGAATCCTGGATAGCAAAGTAAGATCGAGAAAATAAGAAGTCAATCGGGTAATCATTAGTCAATTTGCTAACCGAAAGAAGTTTCTTTTTGATATTTGGGACTATGAGAACATCCCGTAATTTGAAGTTCGGGTTAACCGATAATGTACCAATACGAGAGATGGGGAGTAYATTACCATCTCCAACTGAAACCTTCTCATTTCCATGATAAGGCACGGATGAATCAAGAGTAGCCGAGGATGGAGCCATATGGGCTGTTGCACCAGAGTCCACGTACCAATCCGGACTAGAGTCATTTAGTCTGCAATCGGCGTTAAACGCCTTAGCCAAATTTGCAGTCAAATTGGAAGAGTTTTGGGCATAACTTCCCAATTCTGGACAAGATGTGGCATAATGACCTTCATGCCGACATAACTGGCAATGAGGTTGTCGTCGAACACGGCCTCGAGAGGAAGAAGTGCCCCGATAAATTGACCGTCCAGATCTGCCCTTTCCACGCGAAGGCTGCGGAGAATGACGAGCARTAAAAGCGACGGGAGAGGGAGCAGAACTGTGTAGCGACGAAACAAACAACTCGTGACCCTCAACTTGAGCAATAAGATCACGAAAAGAAGGTCTTGGTTGGACAGCTCGGTAGGCAGTAGAAAAGGTTTCAAATGACGGTCCTAAGCCACATAAGAACCAATGGCTCTTGTCCATGTCGGGAACCGGTTGACCGATGGCTGCAAGTTGATCACAGATAGACTTGAACTGTTTAGCAAAATCAGAGACAGAGAGATTACCCTTTTTGAATTGGCGGAGAGAGTCTTTAAGATTCTGAGATCGCTCCATAGAATCATGGCTATAGGCCGCTTCTAAGGCTTGCCATACAGCACGAGAAGAAGAGAGACCCAACACTGCTGCCATGGCTTCTTCGGACAGAGAAGATTGAAGAATAAGAAGCACCTTATGATCGGTTTCAACCCAAGAGAGATAGTCAGAATTTTGGGTTTCTTTGTCGTTGACCAAAATAGTTTTGGAGGAGCGGGGATACGAGCCATCAACAAAACGCATCCACTTTTGATGAAGCAGCAACGGGTTAATCTGATTTCGCCAGAGGAGATAGTTGGAGGAGGTTAGTTTGATGGTGAGCATATGAATGAGAGTGTTCATGGGGAGAGAAGAATCGGTGGAGGCCATCGAAGATGAAAAGAAAAGATCGAAGAAGGGGCAATAGATGCAAAGGGTTAGGAGAGGAACGAGATTAGGCTGATACCATATGAGATTAAGAKAAATATTCCCCTTGATTATTATTGACAATTGGAAGGAGTATAAATACAAAAATACAACGTAATTATAGGAACTATACAAGGAAAATTACAACTAATTTGACTAATCAAATAAAACTAATTAAGGAGAGGATTTGTCTCCAATAGTTATTGAGGTGTTTGAGCGTACCTACTGTACGAACCGGAAGCTCGATCCAGGTTCGTTAGACCCGCTTATTGATCCTCCTCAGTGCAGTTACCCAAAAGCTGTATGGTTTCATGTAAGTTCAATAAAACCATTACTTTAGTTTATAGATACGTTTCATATTCTTAAAGTAATATATTTTAAAAACCGTAGTGGTGCTCTTAGTTCGGGCTACCATTGTTGGGCATACGTGAGGCTAAATAAATAGGTGGAGAATGTAATTATCATTGGTAATTAGAGTGCTTTAATTGTTAAAAACAAGCATTGGACATGTTTGATTTACAGCCGTTATGTTGCTGAAATTTCTACATATATAAGCTCACCCGTTTTTGTTTTGGTAAACAACATGAGCAATTTCAAATCGTTTAGGGATGGGTCACAGTCTAGTGCCGACACTCTTCCCCCTGATGAGGCATTTCTTTGGAAGCAGAGTGTCAGATGATGGAAGAAGAAACGTCTTTTTGGTTTCGGGACCTCCCAGGATTCCTCTTATGCTATGAATGGTAGATGGGGCAGTAGTACCGTGAGATCATACAATATTAGTTCAACAACGAAGGTATGTTGATTATATTGTTATGTACTTTCCCATTACTTTCATTGTGAACAAATTATTGATTTTTGTCAAATATTGAATATTTACAGGCATCGGAGTTGAGAGAGAAGTTGACAAGGGTAGAGGAGGAGGTACGACTGCAGGAGGAACGCCATCAGGCCGAGATAGAGGCCGAACGGAAGAGTAAGGTAGACCTGGAGGCCGAACAGGCTAGACACACTGCTTGGTTAGCCTAGTAGATCATGTTATCGGAGCATTTTGTTGTGGAAAATGTGTCGCTAAAAGTTCCTGGTCCCTCGCTAATCCGTTGCTAAAAGCCTCTATCACTAGATATACCCCTCGCCAATCCATCACTGGAAGATTTCCGTCGCTAATCTGTCGTTGAAAATTTTTCGTCGCAAATCGGTCGTTGAAGTATTCCGTCGCAAAAAACCCCGTCGATAAAAGTCATCATTGATTCGTCGCTGATAGCATTACCTACGAGCTTTTAACCGATGGACTATCAATGGTGTATCAACCGCGAAATAGGCCTTTAGCGACAGAAAAATCCTCATTTTTTTGTAGTGTTCACTGTTCAACATTCACTAAAGCATGATATTCACAAATAGAGAGTTCTTCTACTTGAATGTTTCCACCAATGGTAGTTTACGTATAACTCAACCACCATAACTTTAATCGACTCCTAATATTTTAATTTGGAGAATCAAGTTTTTAAACGAGCCGAGTCGAACATTGGTGTTTGAACTTAACAACTTGAGCTTCATAACACCAATATTCGAGTCGACTCGTTTAAAAACTGATTAAATTTTTCGAGCCGAGCGCATATATCCGTTCGAGCATACATTTTTTCAAGCCAAACATATTCATAAGCTCATAAATCATATAATCAAAATATATAAATTATAGAGGTCAAGCCAATAAGCGGCTAATAAGATCTTGAGTTTGATCCCGTAAACGATTATCAAGCTCGAACAATATTGAAAAATATTCGAGCTCGAATATAACTATGAAAAAGTTATATGGGCTCGAATTTCGTAATATTTTTTCGAGCCGTAACTCGAATAACTTGTAGCTCGACTCGTTAGCATCCCTACGACGTCAAATGGCTAATAATCTTGAGTCTAAATATATACGATCTTGATTCAAGAACTCAAAAGGGTACCTCAAAAATCAAAACTTTTGATCAAATTTCACGGTTCTTTTTCAGGGTATCTGATCTTTTTGAACATATCTTTCAGTTGTTGATGATCCATCATTTCTTGCAAGATCTTATCATTCACCTCCATACCACCACCCTGCTCGTCATCCATGGCAGAAGATGAAGTAGAAGAAGAAAAAACCAGCTCCGCTAACCGCCCTTTCGCCACCTGTCTATCGTACTTCTCCTCCTCGGTTGTTCCGGCCGCCATCAGATGGTACGTATACACCACTTTCGTTTGCCCGAGCCGATAAGCTCTACTGATCGCTTGTCTTTCCACAGATGGGTTCCAAACGACATCCAAAAGAATGACCCTTGAAGCACCGATGAGATGAATCCCTTCGGAGCAGCATTTCGTCGATGCCAGCAAAACTTTCACTTTACTGTTTGGATCGTTGAAACCGTTGATGATCGTTTGCCTGACCTTCTGATGTATCTTTCCTTTGATGATCATGATCTCCCTTCCTTCCTCCCAAGCAAACGTGAGGGCGATTTGGTCTTTTAACAGCTCTAACGGCGGGATATACTGGCTGAAGATCAAAACTTTTTCGTTTAACGAAATGCTGAGCCGAATAAGCTCCATAACGAACCTTGTTTTCACTCCAAGATCAGGATGAAGTCTTACTTTTTCTAGTTCTCGTGTTTTTGTTAACTTTTCTTCTGTTTCGGATAACGAGCAATGGAGGAGAAGAGAGGGATGAACAGAAACCAACGCGACTTTATGTTCATACTCCAAAGTTTTCGATAAATTTTCCAAATTTACGATGAATCGCTTTTGAAACGGAGGTGGATTCAGCAGAATGACACTTTGTTTTAACCCCGGAAGCTTGCTTTCGAGAATATGGCCTTTGTGGACATGAACAAAAGGCGAAATGATCGTTTTAAGCTTCTCTATATCTTCAGAACCCGACCTACAACCTCTAGATTTCGTACCATTCTTCTGTTGAATCATATCTGCAAAAATCTTTTCGTTCTCAATTCCAACCGCGGTTGCAGGTCTTACTAATCGCAAAGTGTTGAACAACTCCCGGAAGTTGTTTTGAAACGGGGTTCCTGATAGAATCACGCGGTTTTTGGTTTTAAGCTTCAAAAGTGTGTTCCAGATGTTGCTACTTTGATTCCGAGGCGTGTGTCCTTCATCAAGAACGACTAATCTCGGCACATCGAGCAAAAGGTTTCCCATTTTTTCAAGATTTGGGTTCTTCGCGTTCCCAGCTAGTTTTTCGTACAAACTGTAACTCACGCCAAGCACGCTTCCACCGTTGCTCCAAGAACTAATCTTCATCGCACGGATCAAATCTTTTTTACGTTTCATATCGCCATTCACCATCTCATTGCTCAAAAGATCCAAGTTATTAAGGTTGATAAACGAAAACCCCATTCGCCATTTCTTGAACTCGGCTTCCCACGTCAAAAGCATGCTCGCCGGAGCCACGATCACGGGACAACACTTGGGAAATGTCTTGAGAAAGGACTCGATAAACACGATGGTCAAGAGGGTTTTACCGGTTCCAGGAGCATGCGATATGATGCAGCCACCACCACCCTTTCGCGAATCGAGTTTCTGTAATCTTGAAATCTCGACCGTTCCCGCCAAATTTTCCCACAAAAACTTGAGCCCTTCTTGTTGATGGGGATACAAACGGGTTTGAATCCTGGTAGGAATGAGATCCCAGAATGTGCCTTCGGTTTTCTCGCATAGATTCCAATCTGAAGCTTCAAAATGCAGGTTTTCAGAGCTAGAAAACTGTTGTTCATTAGAAACATAACTTCTTTTTGATCTATCTGGTGCATAGTTTGCCTGCAAATAATGGATATAAGTTCTTTAGTTCGCAAACCCGACACGAAAACAATGAAAAAACATCAAGATTTCGAGTCACCCACGAGTTTTGATATCGCAAATCTGCTCTCGAGAATAACAGCTCCACATAAACCACATCTCATGCCCGTTTGTTCTTCAAAGTAAACATCGTCGTGCTCCCCCCTTTGGCAAAGTTCGAAATGAGATGGTTCGATATCCTCCTCGTTCTTGCCTTTGTAATCGTCTTTACCTCGATTCTCAACCTACAGAACGTTGTTTCATAGATGAAACGTCAAAGAAAGTCTTTTTCATACGATATTATTTGAATACGACTGCCTTGTGAAAAGATGTGTTCACGGGACACGTTTCAAAGTATCTTAACAGGCACGAACTTGGTTATAAAACCTCTATATTGCATAATTCTTAGGATTATATAAACTTAATTCCTATAAAGCTAAGACATTCAGATATATTTGGTGCACAACAAAGACGAAAAGATACGAACCGTTGAAGTTTTGTAGGAACCTATTTCTTCACATTCGAGCTCAAAATCCATCTCCCGAAACAGACCTTCAACATCTGAATCGTCTGTTTTTCGATTCAATGACTCATCCTCACTGTCATCAAATCTGAATCGTAAAGGAAGACGATAATCATCATCGTCATCATCACCCTCTTTGCCATGAATGCCTCCATTCCGAATGATCGAATCCAAGATAACATCTATAGATCCACCATTTTCTTCTTGCAGGACTCGTTTACTCTTACGTTCTCGATGTTTGACACCATTCGCTTTATGTTTCGCATTCGTTTTTCCTTTTGTATCAGAATCACTCGAACAATGCGTCGGATTTTTGTCCATTTTCTTCGTTATTGCTTTTGGTACCGAATGATTCTTCTCTTTTCTGTCAACTGATCCAAATAAAACCTTTTCCTCCATGTTCTTCTTATGTGATTGCTTCCTATTTCTGGGCTGGTTTGTCTTCCGTACTCGTGGCAAAAAATCCGAATCGTGTGAGTTGTCATTCTCGCTTTCAATGGAACTCGATCGCTCATCATCTTTAGTAGATTGATACAAGCCCGTGTTTGTATTACTCGTGGACTGGTTCAGTATCTTGTTTAGCAAAAAGTCCCAGTTCTCCGAGTTATCGCTCTCACTTTCGCTAAAACTCGATGGTTCATCTTCTTCAGTAGACCGATCATAGAAGCATGTTTTCATATCGGTTTGCTTTCGATCATGATATTTGCAGAATGTTTGAAAATCTTCATCAGTATCTGGTTACGATATTAACCGTTACAAACGACATGATTTGAGAAAAAAAAATACAAACATTACAACAAAATTTGCTTTATAGGGTGTAAAGATATGTCTAAATGTCCTAATAGACTGTTTCACAAAACTTCGTTTATAGCAAAAAGTCATATATAGTTGACTGAATAAGTTGTGAGTTCCTTAAGCTCATTAAGCTGTTAACAAATAGACTTTTAGACATATTTGACGTTCTATAAAGCTGAACGTTGCAGTGAGATCGAGAGTCAAGAAACGCTCACCTTCGATGTCATCAAGAACGATGATTGTATCGTTTGAATCTGAGTCATCCGACGAGTAGAAAAAGTATGTGTGCTTCCCGGTTTTAAAGGAACTTGCCGAACCATAACCATTGCTCTCCGTCACAATCTTTGGGAACTCGATATCATCGATTTCCTCTACCCCATCGCTCTCTTTCGATAAAATTCAGTAACAAATAACCGATTGACAATATGAAGGAACGAAGAAAACGACATATACAAATACAATCTTCTAAGATATCATAAGAGAATTACCTTCCTTGTCACTTTCTTCCTCTTCCGACTTAATCGATTTCTCGAGTCTTATATTTAATCTAAAAGAGATCCCGGATCCTAAATAAAGCATTATCCAGACATTTTATTCAGTACAACAAACAAACAACAGTTTAACGACTTTATCCGTACAGACAACAAACAAACATCAATTGAGAATTTTGAAAAGGTACCATCTTCATAGTCTTGATCCTCATCTGAATCATCAATCCTTATGGCTTGGTCAAGTCTTCTTCCCAATCTACTGGACCCTTTGGATGCTATATATATAAAACATTATATGACTCGACTAACAAAAAACCACAAATAGAAGACAAAATATTGGGAAACAAAAGGTTCGGGTGGACCCAAGGAGGTCCCAGGTTCAAATCCAATAAAGAATAAAAATCCCCGTGTGGCCACGGAGGTTCAAATGCGGTGACTCCGACTATCTACAAAGCAGTCGGGTAGCATAGCGGGTTGGATATCCAGGTTCATCAAAAAAACACAAATAGAAGACAAAATATTGGGAAACAAAAGGCCGGGGTGGACCCAGAATTTTTCCCACTTTTAAGTGTGACCAAAGGCCTATAAAGCTGCGGTTTGATCCTATGGAAAAGCCAACATCGTTACACGATTTCTGAAGAGAATCGATTTTGAGCAAGACATAAGTACGATGTTTTTTTGGCATAATTCCATCGTTTTAAGGGATTTTTAGCTTTTTGGTTGATTTTAACAGACATTTGTTGGTTTTGTCAAATATAAGTATTATATTACTTAAAAAGGAAAGACAAATGTTTTACCATTTTGATTGCTTGTTTCCTCATCAACTATCTTGACTTCATCGATGGTTCTTGTGGTTGATCTACAAGAACCTTGGAATCCAACATAAAAAAATTACTTATGATACAAATTAATTTTTTTTATTAACCCTGATATCCAACTCGCTGTGCGAGCCGATTAATCACAGTAAGACCACCTGCTTTGCAGATAGCCCGGAGTCAGCGCATTTGAAACTCCGTGGCCACAAGGGGATTTTTATTCCTCCTTGGATTTGAAACCGAGAGCTCCAGGTACTTTTGACCTTTGGAGCGAAGCTTAAACGAATCAGACACCACCCTTGTGGTCGTGATACAAATTAATTAAAGAAAATAAACATGGGAAAACAAGCATTACCATTAACTGTTTTAGAAGCTCTCTTCTTCTTAATCCAATAACTATCTACATCAATAACTTCATCAAATTCTTGTTCAGAAACCCCTATTTCTCTGTTTCGTTTTCGAGATTGGTCGCTTGAAGAACCACAGCACCATTCTGTATTGGTTCATCGATTAAACCCCAAACGATTATGATTAATAAAACAAACAAACACCAAAATGATCAAAAAGGGTTTATAAGAAACCCATAAAAGATCAAGCCTATATATATATATATATATATATAATGAAGCAAGATTCATGGTGAAGTTATTTGGTACCTTGCAAAAGAAGGTGTCGTTGAAGGCGAGTTCGTTTTGCGATACATGAGCTGGAAATGGTCGACATTTTGATCAAGAATCAAGGACGTATATGATTTGAGCAGCAATGGAGAATGGAAGCAGATGAAGGGTCGGTCGGTAAGATGATGGTGAGAGTGTGTGTGAGAGAGAGAGAGAGAAGAGAGAGAAAGCTTGTTTTAATAGCCTGGTGATTCGTTTACATTTGAAGGGACTGCCCGCTAGTCCGCTACAAATCATGTTGCCTGCTTTTGCTAAAAATAAACACCGTACAACCTGCAAATCAGACACACTATTAGAATTTCTCGGTGTTTCTGATTGTTTAGATTACTGAAAGTTGTGATTCAATTTCAGATTGAAATATTTTGATGGTATAATCGAAACTTCAATCGGATAGAATTTAGTAATTCGAAGAGAGAATCGATGTTATGAATCTATCTGTACCCCCGGACCCCCGTCGTTTAGGGGCTTCGCCCCTAAATAACGGTATACTTTAAATCGAAATAAACTCAAACAAATGTGCATTCCGCACCACCCTTACTTGTTCAATATTTATCAAGATTACATTGGTCAACAAATTAATACCGTTACGCTTAAATAATATTGGTGATACAAATCACTAACATAAATTATCATTCTCGTTCATCTTCTTTGAAAAATATTGCGATTTTTCGTCTGTATGGTTTTGAAATAACGATTTTCATTTTATATAATTTATAATTTATCGTCATTTTCATTCCTGATACTAAATGTGTTAAAAACCATTCATTAATTTAACCGTGTTTAATCTTTTTGATTTTTTTTGTTGGTATTTTAGTGTTTTTGATACAAAAATTAATTAATAAAAAAATTATATTATTTTGTTATTGTTTACCATAAATAATTAAATATTTTTTAATTTTTTATCATTATAATTTTAGTTTATTATGAGTTCGATTTATATCATTAATATCGTTCAAATACAAGTCGTTGAATACTCATTATATAAAATTACTTTAATTATTTTTTCTTTATTAAAGATCAGTTGATTTTATTTTTCATAGGTATAAACAATTAACTATTTTTAGATTCTTTTTATTAAGGGACCGTTTACCAAACGCTTATCCGGTAAGTACTTACTGGGTAATTTTTCTCACTTGATGAACATGGCAAGGGCCAAGAATCTTATCCGGTAAGAACGATGATAAGGATTAAGAGTCTTACCCGGTAAGTGAGAGTGTTGACTCTTACCCGGGTAAACACTTACCAGGTACATTGTTGCATAGGATACGTTTTGATGTACTATAATTTTACCCAATAAAATAAATTATAATATTGACTCATAACATTAAGCACTTATCGGATAAGCATTTAGATAAACGACCCCTCAATAAATATACAGAAAATCTAAAATAAAAGAAATGCCAAAGCCATGTTATTCTGTTTCTGTAGGCACCCAGTCAAAGTTCATGTAATTTTTGTGTTTCCATTTTCATCCTCCATCTTTGAGATTGCTCTCATTTTTCTTGGTTGTGTACATATTATTCTTGGGGTAATAATTAATATTATTTATATATCTATACTATTGATACGTACTAAGTATTTAGTACGTAAAGTACCTTTTTATTCTCTTTTAGATAGGTTATTTTCTATTCATATCCCAACTTTGAGTCATTTTATCTCTTTTATCTGTTTTTATGCTAAGAAGAATGATGATCCTGTTTTTAGTGGATTTTGGTCTAAATTGATCTTATTTTGGACARATTGGAGCAGGTTGATGCTGTGGAAATGTGGTAGCATGACCTGATGGCTGATAGAGAGATGGATGAGACTTAGAAGTGATTGACATGATATGGGAAGACAT